GAGGTCATAGGTTCGATTCCGAGCCTGCCGCCTGTATATTTGGAGTTTGCGTGTTCTCCCCCTGGTCGCTTGGCTTTGTCTCCGGACCCTCTGAGTTTTCCCCTCCACATTTAGAAACACGCGTGCAGAGTATTCGGCTGCTCTACATGTCCACACGATGGAAAGCCACTTTATGAAGCTATCATTTGTGGGCAGATCGCTTCTTAAAAAGAGCTACTACATAGCTCAGTGGGGCTTTGCCTGGCGAAATACAAAAATAGTCTCTAGTTGTTTTGAAAGTTTCTGGGCCACAACCCTTGAGCCGCATCATCCACTGCACCAGCCATGGAAGCGACAGCAGCAGGTGCGGTCATAGCGGCTGATGATCACCACGATGGTGATGCACAAATGGGAAAATGCAATAGCATAAAAAAAAACTCACTGGGCAGTGTGCGGCGACTGGAGTCACCCGAACAGAGACCGCGGAACATGGAACGACTCAATGCCCCGATTCACGAATACGAAGGAGGAGGCATCATCATCAATCATCGCAGCAGCGATGATTCACCACTACGCTGCTCCTGACGCAATCACCTGGCTCATCAACCACCTCGATGCAAATCCACAGCTGTTGCTCGACATCAAAATCAGCCGTGCAAAGCAGCAGCAGAAGCAGCAGCAGCAACAGAAGAAGCAGAAGTAGAAACAGCAGAAGCAGCAGCAGCAACAACAGAGGAAGCAGCAGAAGAAGCAGCAGAAGCAGCAGCAGCAGCAGCAGCGATTGCGCGACCTCTCTCTGAGCGAGGCGTCCACAGGGCTCGAGGTTTCACAACCCCGAGCCCCGTATTTACCGAGGTGTAGGTAACAAAGGTGAGCGCACTCGCCCCCCTCCCTCCCCCCACCACCATCATCATCACTCGTTATTTGTGTTTCAACTTCTCTTTTGCCAACTTGCACCGCCCCCCTTCCGATCGCAATATTTCATCCCGGCTCCTTTTGTTTGTCGCGAGCATTTTTCTCTTTGCGATGGAGTGGGGACCCCCCCCCCTCCTCGTCCAAAATGTCTTTGTGAGGTCGCCCACTCGTCAAACACCGCCCCTCCCTCGCTCCTTCCCCCTCTCCCCCTCTCCTTCCGCCCACCTCCACGGTCTTGCGCAACACAAAGCCAGCAGCAGCAGCAGCTCGCGTCCTCACATCAACCCAACCGTACAGCCACGCATCACTTTCACTCCACAAATAATTGCAGAGAATCCTGCTCATTTCATTATTTGTCCCTCCGCTTATCAAGATGCAACTATTGTTTTGCACGTCCCGTCAGCCACACGGCCTTTCTGAGGAGTGCATGATTTCAGCAGCATTTGTTCAACACAAGCAAACTCTGGACCGGTTTCATCGTGCAGTGTCTCATCGGCAGAGCCCCAGGGGGTTTGCTTGAAGCCGTAGCCCTGACTGAGACCAAGCAGCCGAGCAAGTGTGGTGGTGCCTGCCTGCAAGGCGTTTCTGCAACTTCATTCCTTCAAAGCCAAGATTTGGAAATCGTGGGAGGGAGCGGGGGGGGGAGAGAACCCGGCAAAGAGGGGAGGGGCCAACAAGCCCCCTACCCCGAACTCACCGCGGCCAAAATCTTAAGGGAGTGAGAGGAGGAGGGGTCCTCTCATGTAAACATCTGGGCAGTTCTCCAACGTCTGCCCAAGCAAGCGACTCTGCTGATGTAACACTGAATGTCGATACGGCTCCAGAGCGTCCTTGTGTTGAGCCAACGCTGCATGAGTGGTGCACTCCCAGAAGTCCATGCGGCCGATGGAAGGAGGGGGCCGATTGTCTGCCAAGTAATTTTGTACTCTCGGGGTGGAGCGGTGGCGCAGTGCTTAGCACAAAGCGTTGTGAACACGGCTCGCTGGTGGCGCCTAACATCAGTGGCTACGTTTTGATATCACTTGTCTAGGCGCGGTGTCTAAAACATCGGCCACTCCACCCCCTCGTGTGCCCTCCCGGCCTTAATAGGCGGGACTCGCGAACAGCACGTACCCCAACGGTCGGTGGAGGCTATACGGGGGATCTTTGTCTTTGTGCGATCGCGCGTGGGTGAGAGCGGATGCGGGGGGGTGGAGGTGCGGATTGATGTTGTTATTTATTGATGGAAGAGCGCGCAAGAACATCCGTGTTATGACAGAAGTTAAACTACATACGATTTAAAAAATTTTGTTTCATACCAGGTAAGGCTCACCGATCTGTACAGCTCTTTTTCAGAAGCGACCTGGCCCAACAAATGACAGCTCAACAAAAGTGGCTTATCATGTGGACATTTATAGCAGCCAAATACTCTAAACGCTTGATGTTGATTCTAAATGTGTAGAGGAAAACCGGAGGAGAAAAATCCACGCGACCACGGGGAAAACACGCAAATTACAAATATACAGGTCGGGATCGAACCCACGACCTCCTGTATACCAGGCGAGGTAGTTAACATCTCGCCACCGCGGCGCCCCAATTGCGCTGATCTGCGTTCATACTCGAAGCGGTTGCGAGCAACACCACTGATGTTGCTTGCAGTGAGCACAAGAGCACGATAAAAGCGCCGGACGCACGGGGGAAGATGCGCTAACCACTGCGCCACCGCTCCCTAAACTTTTCAATACCAGTCACAGGACAGACCCAGGTGTCATGGGCTGACTGTAGATGCACCACCTGTGTGCCCCACTCTGTCAACTTTCTGTGTTTTATCTGCCCGGCGCTCTGCTCGTTTGTGAGCGTCGCTCCTCTGTCCTCCGTTGTTGCTGGAGGCCGACTTCCTCCAACTGCCCAATAGCGTCCTTCACGAGCCTCCTCCATAGATGTTGATCTTGACACTGGTCATCGGCAATTCCAATCAACGCCACGTCCTCCTGTACCACATCAGTCCATCCCTTCTCGTGCCCGTGCCGCGCCCGTTTAGCTGGGTCCAGATCTTTCAAGGATCTGTAAGCTCCCAAATCCAGTCTGGTTTAATCCCAGGATGATTTGTAGGCAAGCTAGCTTTAATGTTTAAAACCGATGCAGATGTCCCGTTAAAATGGATCCACGTTTCGCAAGAATAGAGCAGAGAGGGCATAACTGTGGCGGAGAAGACCCGTAACATCGTATGAGAATATAAACCAGGCAGCGTTCACACATCGTTACGTAGAAGGTGAAAACATAATACCGCTCGACTGAGATCTCTCGCTGCCAAACAAACCGGAGCCGGTTATAAGCAACACTGCCAAGGTATGGGAACGCTTGCATCCATCCACTCTCTCCACACCTGCCCCGTGCAGTCATGGGCCAGTTGAGGGTCGGGGGTGTTAGATTGCACGACACACGCAGACTGGCACACACACCGCGCGTCCACAAACGCTCAACAGCCCCACACTCTCAGCCGGGAACACCCAGCACCGAATCGTCAGCAGAGTTGGGGTTTTCTGAGTGGCTGCATTAAGCCCAGTGCAGCTTGTTGGGTCCCAGCAGACACTGGGGGAGGGGGCTAATTGAGGTCATTGTTAGTCCCCTCGGCGCGTCTCGCGTAACCAGCCCACAGCTGGCACCTCGCCGGAGCGCCTCGTGCCAGGGCAGAACACGGTGCCTCTTAAGGCGGTGACACTGTCGTGGTGCCCGGTTTGTTTGCGCGGCTCTAACGAGACAGAAACTCGCCTCGTTCCAAGCGCTCAGTCGCACACGTCACTGGGATTGGCCGCGTGAAGATTAAAGCACCGCGGCTAATGCGATGCCACCACAGGTGCAACCCGATCGAACCGAATTAAATCGAATCAATGATCGATTCATTTGAATCTCATTCTCACGCGCCCTCTCGCAGTGGGCTATTATTATTATCATGTTCGATAAATATAAACCATCAGCAGAGAACCTCCTCTCTCCACATGCCCACTCCTTCACACCCCCCGCTCCCCCATCGCCCTCTGCCCCCTCCCTCCACCCACCCCAGCAGCCCCTCCCCTCTCCAACTCCCCCCGCCCCCCCCGTGTTTACTCAGGGGGGGGGGGGGCAAGGGGGGTGAGTGGAGTCCATTAACCACCTCCTGTGCGGAGTGATGATGGGGAAGGCGATGCCACAGCTCCCGCCCACCACTCACCCCCTACTCCCCACCCCCACCAACTCCCCGTCCGTCTTTGTCTCCCCAGTTCGCGGCGCGGTTTGCGCGGCGTGACTCAACAGGTCGCTACGCGGTGCAGGTTCGCAGCGCGTGTGTGTGGTGATTACACACGCGCGGGTTGTGTGTGTGTGTGGTGATTACACACGCGCGGTGTGTGTGTGTGTGATTGCACACGTGTGTAAATATGCGGGTTGATTGGCGGAGAGTGGTGGTGATGATGGGGGGGGGGGGGTGCGGGGTGGGTGGTGGTTATGTGGAGGGTGGGGGTTGCTGGGGAAGGGGGTTGCTGGGGGGGGGGATGTTGAGGAGGGGGGTGTGAATGATGATGATACTGGGGTTGTGATGCTTAATTACGAACATGGGGACAACGAGGATGATTGTTGAATGATGGTTGTGATGATGGTCAGGATTAATGATCGTGATGGTGACTCATCATGGTAATCAATTCAATTATTCCACCGGAGTAACCCCCCCCCCCTCCCCCGTTGAGATGGACCACGGCCTGGTTGACAGCGAGTGTCCTCGCGATTGAAGCAAACACGCGCTGACACAAACACACGTGCACAGCGACGATACGATGATGCCGATCATCACTACAAAGGTGGAAATGGTCATTAGTGTAATAAAAAAGCAACAGGCTGCAATGCTCTGTGTAATGTCGTAAGCCATTCTACGTCTTCCGGGATGATAGCTGAGTAGAGCAGTCCGCTCCTTTCGGCGGAGAACGCGTGTTTGTATCGGGGTCGCCGAGCGGATATTCGCCAGGTGGTTTGCACCTCCCCACATTCCCGACCTGTTTTTGCGAGTCCGTCAAGGCTGATGGTTGAATGACGACGAGCACGATGAGGATGACCACGACGACGAGTCCCCTACTAACCCCCTCTCCCCTCTGCAGGCGAGAAGCCCTACCGCTGCACGTGGGAGGGCTGCGACTGGCGGTTCGCGCGCTCGGACGAGCTCACGCGGCACTACCGCAAGCACACGGGCGCCAAGCCCTTCCAGTGCCACGTGTGCAGCCGCTCCTTCTCCCGCTCGGACCACCTCGCCCTGCACATGAAGAGACACCAGAACTAGGAGACCCTCTTCTGCTTCACCACCACCACTATTCCTATCGGCGTCATCATGGGTATCATCAGCATTAGCAGCCGCATCGTCGTCACATCTCCCTTCACCGTGATGGTGGTCGTGGTGGTGCCACTGATGGTGATGATGACGATGTCTCGGCTGTCAACTCTACAAACTTTTTCCACCGCGAACTCGCCCCCCCCCTACCCCCTGCCGTCCTGCAAAATGAAAATCGCATCACCAACAACAGCAACAGCAGCAACAGCAGCGCAACAACGGCAGCTGAATACATTTGCCACTCAATTGTCGCCGCTGCGCGCTTGTGCCGAAACAGGCGCGCCATTGCCGCGAGGACGACGGCGACTACAGGGACACTGGCCGACGTGAGCCTCTGATGGGCAGTGACTCCACCGCGGAGCTTGTGCCAGGCTAGGTGCACCTTGCGGGTTGGTTGCATGGTCGTTGCTTTTGGCAGTAGGTCGGTGGGTAGGCAGAAGTAGCACGAGGTGGTGGTCACGGGTCAATGGACGCCGTTCATCGATCGATCACAATAACGATAACAATGACCCCACACACGCAACTATAAACAACCATGCCAGCAGTCGCGCCGGTGAACATGTAAACAATACACACACGAACACCTAAGCAGCGCGGCGACGGGGAGATTTTATTTTGGATCAACCCAAGAGGTCATCGCCTCTCCATCGTATCCTTCTGCCAGATTTCACAGTTGTATATATTTTTTCAACCTTTGAGGTGGTCATAATTATCACTGCCGGATGGTCGCTCCTACAGGGCACCCGGGGGTGGTAGTGGTGGAGCGGAGAGGGGAGGCCGAGGACCCTGCCGGCTCTGCTCGGAATGCGCCGTGGCCTGGAAAGGGCCCAAATTGGGGGGAGTGAGTATGGGTGCTTGGACGTTTTTGTTGCCAAACAAATAGAGAAAAGACATCACACAGAGTTTGTACGACCCTTCGTCTCACACAGTGAGACGGACGCTTTCCAACGGGCGTAAGACAAATATAAATATAGATTCTGACCATTTCAACCATAACCCTGCACGCCATCCCCAGGTGCTTGTCTCGCCGTGGGATTTTGCTCGTTGCGTGGACGCCACGTGGTGGTCACGAACGGGAGTCGCGGCGTGGTGGTGGCGGTGGCGGTGGTCACGGGAAGGACACTCAGGGGGAGAGAAGAGAGAACTTGCTCCGGCAATACAGATACAAAAATTGGAACGTTACAGAGAAGATTAGCATGGCCCCTGCGCAAGGATGACACGCAAATTCGTGAAAGAACTGTGCCACGTCTCGAGTCGCCCAGAGAATCCGAGTGTCGGGTTCGGTGAAGGCGCAGCGGTCCCGCTCCCGTGGGACGACTCGCCACCCCTCGCGGACGCACGCACCAACAGAACAAAGACACAGATCCCCCGGACAGCCTTTAGCAGACTGTCGGGGCAAGAGCTGTCATCGAACACTCGTGAAGATGCTGCACGGCGCACGAGGGGGTGTGGTGTGGTCCTGACCCACGTCCGGCCGCCTTTATCTCCCCAGTGCTGGACCGCTTCAGCTATTCGCCACTAGCCACACACAATCACGCGCACACGTTTTCTCTCGTATGCAAAGTCTCTTTCGCTCTCACGCGTAAACACTCGCACACACACAACATCAACAATCACAGAGATCCCGCGTATAACCTGTATCAGACTGTAGGAGCAAGTGCTGTTAGCGAGCACCCATGAAGGCCGAAACGGCACACGAGGGGGTGGGTGGCCAGCACCACGCCCGGCCGCCTTTGTCTTCCTAGTGGCGATGTTTGCACACAAACATACGTACACATTATCTCAGACATTATCGCAGTAAACACATACTGACACACACTCTCACCCCATTTAGTCACTGATATTTGACTCGTGAGCGTGAATCGAACTCGGGTCGCCGGGTTCATACCGCGAGTGCGTTAACCACTGCGCCCACCGCTCCACACACTCTCTCGCTCTCATCCGTAACACGCGTAGTGGATGTCGCGTGAGATTACGACTGCTTTGTTGAAGTCACTGTAGAACAGAACAGAAGAAGGTGAAACCGACTCTGTGTAAAAAATATAAAAAAATCCCAAAACAAAATCAGTGCCCAAAACGCCACTGTTGGGGTATCAATGACACTTAGTGCCACTCGCGCGCGCGTCGGTGTATATATATGTGCGTGTGTTTTTACTTCTAGATCATTTTTAAATATGTATATAATTCTTACTGGTTGTTATTATTGTTGTTTTGTTATATATTACCCCGCCCGCTCACTCAAAACAACAAGATCTGAGTTCACTTGAAGGCGCATTCAAATGCAGTTCCGTCCCAACGTCATCATGCACCACCACCAACCACCACCCATCACCACCACCACCAACCACCACTACGAACCACCACCAACCACCACCGCCAACCATCACCAACCACCACTATCAACCACCACCATCAACCACCACCAACCACCACCAACCACCACAATAAAACACCACCAACCACCATCACCAACCACCACCAACCACCACTATCAACCACCACCATCAACCACCACCAACCACTACCAACGCCGTCACCGCCGCAGCCGAAGCGTCACTGTCGCCAGATATTTTTTTTTTGGGGGGGGGGGATACAAAAGTCCAGATGTTGACTTTGTTGTTGTTGTTGTCGTTCTTGTGTCCCATGTCCACCAATGGGAAAGTGTAAATACATCGGCCATTTTTCATCAAAATATCATCCACTCCGTCTCCGGAGATTCCCCGCTCTTCATTCATTCAGCCGAATTCACTCCTCGCAAAGAGGGGGAGGCTAGGGATCGGTAAATCTTGGGTAGAAATCAGCCAACCCCCCCCCCCACCCCCCTCCAAACCTATAGCGCGTCCCACGTAAACCCTCTCCTCGATCCAACCTGGCAGCACAACAAGACAGACAGACGAGACGGCAGCCACAATCTCTAGCAGAGAGAAACAAGCCAAGAGGGCCGCGAGCCAGCAGCTCGACACGCCGGAGACGCGTTATGCAACTCAGCGCAACCGCTGGGGGTTTTACGAATGGCGGTGGGGGTTCGTGTGTGCGTGTGACTCTGTGTGTGTGTGACTGTGTATGTGACTGTGTGTGTGTCTGTGTGTGTGTCTGTGTGTGTATACGCGCGTGGTAGTGCAAAAGTTAGCGCGCTGTGCTATGAACCCCCGCTGGGCCTCTCCTAGGTCGACTCAGCCTCGAATGATTATCTGGTACGGTGTGTAAACATCACTACTGGGGAGAAAAAGGCGGTCGGGCGTGGTGTGCCGTGCAGGCCTTCATAGGTGCTCGCTAACAGCACTTGCCCCAAAATCCTGTTAAGGCTACACGGGGGATCGTTGTCTTTGTTCGTGTGCGCGTATAATGTGGGAGCGGTGGCCCAGCGGTTAGCGCGTTGCGCTACCAAACCCAGCGACCCGAGTTTGATTTTCGCTCACGGCCACCAACACCAGTGACGATTATCCGAACCGGTCCTGGTCCTCCCCTAGGTTGACTTGGCCTCAAATGAGTACCTGTGTGCGTGTGTAAACATCGCCACTAGGGAGGCAAAGGCGGCCGGGCGTGGTGCTGGCCACCCACGCCTTCGTGTGCCATGCGGGCCTTCATAGGTGCTCGCTAACAGCACTTGCCCCAACTCTATGTTAAAGTTATACGGGGGATCTTTGTCTTTGTGTATATATGCGTGCGTGTGAATGTTCTGACGGTTTGCGTAAGATGCTACTTCGTGTATATACGGTTATTTGTATAAGACACTAACGTTGTCACACATTTTATTTGATCTTATCATGGGTGTTTACGGATTTATAGAGTATTTTTTTAAATATACTTTTTGTTGTTGTTGCATGGTTAATTAAATCAGTTTAAAAGGTTCTCACTTCATGATTTTTTTGTGCGTGAAATGTAATTTTAATCGCCATCAACTAATGCCCGTGATGATGGGTGTCAAAGTTGTTGTTGTGTAACTGGGAGCGAGTATGCCCGGTACTCGCGTGCGTACCCCCGGTACATGCTGTATATGTTACTTAATTAACCCCTAGTGGCCCCATTAGCGGCAATCAATTAATTTAAAAAAAATCATAAATAAAGGAAGGGGTACAGAGTTAGGGGTGGAGTGAGATAGCCAATCAGACACACCACCCCTACCTAGCCCGAACCATAACCACACTTACACTAGACAGCCAGACCCTATCCTTAACCCGAACTAAACTCGCCAACCTGACACTCAGCCCTACCCTTAACCATCTGATTGATGGTATATTGATCAACATCGCAATACAAGGCGGAGCGGTGGCACGGTGGTTGGCGCACTGCGCTCTAACCCCGGGGCCCCTGACTTTGATCCCCGGCCATGCGGCTCCGACGTCCGTGGCCGAGTGGTCTCCGAAGCGAGGAACCGGGGTAGCAGTCGACACCGAGCAGCGATGAGGTCGGGTCAATACTCTTAGGTTTTGTCGGTAAAGTCACGTAGGTAAAAAATAAATAGTAAAATAAGTAATAAAAAATAATAGAAGAAATAATAGAAATAAAATAATAAATCACGACGTTTCGGAGACAACACAAGCTTCCGTCTTCAGGTGGAACCGCCACAGCACAATTGCTGTATCAAGTAAAGAGAAATCCCAAGAGACCCGACCTTATATATATACTGGTTGAGGGGGGAGGAACCAGGATGGGCCGCGAAAGAGGAGTTGTTATGAGATGATTCTAGATTCGTGACTGCAAGGATTCATAACTCTTAGTTTTTTCGGTAAAGTCACGTAGGCAAAAAATTAAATTAAAATTAATAATAAAAATCACGACATTTCGGAGGCAACACAAGCTTCCGTCTTCAGGTGAAACAAAATATCTTGATACAGATTTTTTGCTGTGACGGTTTCACCTGAAGACGGAAGATTGTGTTGTCTCCGAAACGTCGTGATTTATTATTATTTTATTTTTATTAATTTTTATTTCATTTTTTACCTACGTGACTTTACCGAAAAAACTAAGAGTATGTTATGAGATGGTTAGTACGGCTGCGGCTGCTGCTGCTGCTGGGACGTCAGGCAAACCGCCCACGGTGGCCACGGCGGAGGATGCGACGTCTTCATCCGGCAGCGGATTTCACCGACCGATTGAATATGAATATGGCCGTACGTAATTATGGTCGATGGTGAGGATGCCCCCCCCCCCCCCCCCCCCGGTAGACCCCCACCTGGAGCGGGCAGCCCAGGACCACGCTGTCGCTCGGCTCGCCTGGGAACGCCTGGGACTTCCCCAGGAAGATCTCCAGTCTGTTCATAGTTTATAGTCGTGTGTAGTAGCGTATAGTGTAGTAGCGTATAGTGTAGTGTGTAGTAGTGTGTAGTAGTGTATAGTAGTGTAGTGTATAGTGTAGTACTGTATTGTATAGTAATGTATAGTAGTGCATAAAGTAGTGTGCAGTAGTGTAGTGTATAGTGTAGTGTATAGTAGTGTATAGTGTAGTGTATAGTGTAGTAGTGTGTAGTAGTGTATAGTATAGTAGCGTATAGTGTAGTGTGTAGTAGTGTATAGTGTATAGTGTAGTAGCGTATAGTAGTGTAGTGTATAGTGTAGTAATGTATTGTATAGTAATGTATAGTAGTGCATAAAGTAGTGTGCAGTAGTGTAGTGTATAGTGTAGTGTATAGTGTAGTGTATAGTGTAGTGTAGTGTGTAGTGTGTAGTGTATAGTGTAGTGTATAGTGTAGTGCATAGTGTAGTGTATAGTGTAGTGTATAGTGTAGTGTATAGTAGTGTAGTGTATAGTAGTGTAGTGTATAGTGTAGTGTATAGTAGTGTAGTGTATAGTGTACTGTATAGTAGTGTATAGTGTAGTGTATAGTGTAGTGTGTAGTGTAGTGTATAGTAGTGTATAGTGTAGTGTATAGTGTAGTGTATAGTGTAGTGTATAGTGTAGTGTATAGTGTAGTGTATAGAGTAGTAGTGCTGGAGTCCAGGGAGAGGGAGGTGTGGACCGCCACTCCTCAGCGTGCTGCCACCGCGACCCTCGCCAGGACAGCGGCTTGAGAAGCGAGCGAGTGAATCTTGGTCGACTCGTCACAGTGCGGAGAGATGCCTCTGTGCCAGGGGCTCGAGCAGGGAGAGAGGGATCGCGTGGGATGGAGCGCGCGGGTGGCATTCTACGGCGATTCATGATTTACAACAGCCACGATGATGTCGTTCGCCCGAACACCAGATATGGTTGTCACGGTGATTGCAATGATTACTACGCTATAAGCAAAGCCGACGGTTCGGTCATTGCATATAGCTGTTGCCCAAGAGAGTATGTGTGTGTGTATGAGTGTATGTGTCTGAGTGTGTGTATGAGTGTGCGTCTGTGTGTGTATGAGTTAGCGCTACGCTGCGCTACGAACCTGGCGACCCGACTTCGAATCGCGCTCACGGTCCCCGCCACGGACGACAGACATCTTGAACCGGTCCTGGGCCTCCGCTAGATCGACTCGGCGTGAATAAAGTGCCTACCAGGTGGGGTGTGTACAACATCAGCACTGGGCGGAGACAAAGGTGGCCTGCCGGGTCTGGTTATGCGCACAACCACCCATCCCCTCGTGTGCACTGCCTGCCTCCATAGGTGCTCGCTATCAGCACTTGCCCCAACAATCTGTGCAGGCTATAGGGGGGGAACTTTGTCTCTGTGTTACATTTGTGTTACATGTGTAGGCTCTCTGCAGCGCCACGACGCTCGCGTGATCGTAAATCCGTGCAAAGAGAGAGAGATAAATAAATACAAGTACACTTTATTTTGGAGCGCAAACAAAACACGTGCTGTAATCACGAAAGAGATCAAATGCCTCCGCGTGAATGGAACACGTGGATTCAATAGAATGAAGGTGGATAATCAAAACGGACACAAAACAAACTTTGGGCGGAGGGCGGAGGGGGTAACCTTTATTATTTTTGCCAGCTGCTTTTATGTCGATGACAGCCCTGGCATTTTGTTGTTGTGGCGTGCATCACGCCGGAGAGAGTGACAGGAACAGAGAGAGAGCCGAGCAAATGCGATACAAATCACAATACCCCCCCCCTCTCTCCAGTCCCCCCACCTCACCTCCTCGAATGAATCGCAAAGTTCGGGGCGAGTGGAGAAGACGCGGGGTAAATGTTTACCCGAGCACGCAGTCGTATTTGTCATTCTCAGCTTTCCAACCAATACCATCAGCCCCCCCCACCCCCCATCAATCCGCGGGGGACTTTTGTTCGCTGGCGTAGCTCGTGCCTCCGTGCAGGCGGCTCCCACAGGTATGTTGGCGAGAAAAGGGCGGCGGAAGGAGGGGGGGGTCGCGTCGGTGGGGGTGAGGGAGGTTTAGGGCTCTGGATGTGGTGGGCGGGGGGGAGGGTGGGATGGAGGGTGGGGGAAGGATGGAGGAGCGAATTAGAGAGTTCAGTGAGTTTGACATTCTGGCACGGCGCCACCGCCAGGTGGAGGAGGAGGTGTCACGCACGATGCCTTATCCACACCCACCTGGCATCACACACACCTGGCATCACACACACAGACAAGGACCCCCGTATCGGCTTCAACAGACTGTTGATGCAAGTGCTGTTTGCGAACACCTATAAAGGTCAACACGGCACGCGAGGGAATGGGCGGCCAGCACCACGCTCGGCCGCCTTTGTCTTCCTATTCGCGATGTTTATACATCGCTCCGGGTACAATACACACTTGAGGCTGAGTCGACGTAGGGGAAGGCCCGTAAGTGTTTCAGATAAATAATCGCTGGTGTTGGCCTTGAGCGCAAATCGAACTCTGGTCGTCGGATTCGTAGCATAGCACGAAGTTCAACATGCATACATAACTGCTGCATCACCGCTCTCAGCCGCCATGCGATGGGGACGTTTCCACGGCGCTTGCGTGCCAGACTAGGAGGCCATCACAGGAAGTGTGACAAGCCCCCTGGTAGGAGGTCACGGGACACACACCCCCAGGTGCCATCATGGGCCCACCGACCGAGATGACCGGCAGATGCACCACCTGTGCTGCACACTGTGCCACCTCGCTGCGCTTTATCTGCCCGGCACTCTTCCGCCCGTTGTTGTGAGCGTCGCTCAACCGCCCTCCGTTGGCGATGGGCGGCGACTGCCTGCAATTGCCCAGTAGCCTCACACCGCACCTAACCAGGCAGTGCCCAGTAGCGTCCTTCGAGAGCCTCCACCTTCGATAGAGGCAAATCCTGACCCCGCGAGTGAACACGACGCGAGTTCAAGGACCGAGTGACAACACCAGGCCAGGCTGCGAGATGACCAGGAGATGGCAGCCCAGCAAGTTGATGTTTGTTGAGTTTCTGAGCGAGCTGTAGGTTCGTAAAAGCTGTCTGGGCGTACCTATCCTACGGGCCGTGGAGGCAGCGAGAGCTGGTGGATCACACACACACACGTTGTGAAACTCCCATTCCGTGGGTGCCGAGGAGAAGCCCGTAACGTGGCTCTGCCAGGCGATAGTGTGTTGCGGTGTGTAAACGCCCCCCATGTAAACACTCATTCATTGGTACTTTCATATGGAAAATAACACTTTCATATGGAGAGGACCGCATAGCTTGGGCTAATCGTTTGCGGCGACTCATCTCGTGGCTGCTGCCTTCCGACTCGTCTGTGGTTCCTACTCGCGCCTCTGAGTCACTCTCCTCTCCCTACGAGAGCGAGCGAATGTTATGTTGAATGAAGGCCTCCTCATGTGGTCATGGGCAGTTGCTTTGACCATACTTGACCATGCTGCTCGGTGTGGGTCGGTGGAGGGAGCAGGGGGCGGGGAGATGTTGGGGTAATCCCCGGTTTAGACATCACTTTCTACTAATTTTAGCCGTGGCGGGAAATCGATTTCAGATCACCAGAGTTTATCAGGGGGTCGT